CATCGATCCAATGTCTGAAATAAAACAAGAGGAACTCGTGTTCGGCATGACCAGCACATTTGTAGTACTCCATGCGTGCCAGTACACACTTTGCGTACAGATTACCCTGGGTTTCGTCCCAAGAATCTGCCATCGAGGAACACCAACTCACGACCGACGCGCTATTGATATCAGGCCCATTTGGGCAGTAAAACTTCAAAGCTGGGAGCCCGGGAGGGGGCTCTGACATGAATACACGACGGAGGGAGGCTAGAAAACGGCTAATCCAGGAGCGATTTCCTCGGTCTTGTTTTAAAGACATTATAGATTGTCAAGGGTTTGAACACGTTGCCCCAAGGAGGTGTTGAGAAGCTGCCCTTCAGCGCGTGTCTGGGACCCGCCACGTGACCATGCATTTTTTGGCGAACCAGCAGATTGAATGTGCCAAAACCACTTCCAATACTATTTGCCGCAGCTGGCGCGGTCGCAACTTGCAGATCTACCCTGCTTGTGCATGCAGTAACTCCCTTTGGTGTGCCGGGGGGCGAAATGCATAAGCAGGTGGAACTGGCAGGATTGATGCACCTGCGCACGCTGGCACCGGGCCAATTGCACGAAACTTCCTCTACCTCCATCATCATACAACATTTTTCAGGAATCATATCCCTCCGCTGGACACAGCAGTCAGCCAACTGCCTCCAATCAATACCAGCTTCCGCCTTCCTCATCTCACCCACAATACCCTTCATCATCGTGGTCTCAGCCGCAATATGGAGCACCTGCATCCAATACATACCCTACACCCACGCCATATTCACAATCGCAGTCTAGGTATGAATACCCACCCCAGCAGCCGCAGCAATATGCTAGTCCAAACGGTGATTCGCATTATGAGTCATCTTCGGCTGCCTCATCCGGGCCCTCTCACAACCAAGGACAACCATCCTACTATCCCCTCAGTCAGTCCTCCGCTCATAACACCCCTACTCCTCTCGCCAATCCACAATCCTACTCATCATCCGCACTGTCTCATTTCCAATCATACGAGTTCAACCCTCAACAACCCTACCCAAACTCTAGCGCGGGCGGGTGCTACCAACCATCCAATTCAACCCACTCCCAGGCCCAGCCCCCTCGCGTTACCTCTCCGGCCCAATCTCGATACGCAAACCAATCGTACACTAGCTCCTGAAACGAACAAGCATATCCCCAGCGCCAACAGTCTGCATCTGCATCTGTTGGAGGGTACAATCCCGCCCCCGCCCCCGCCTTCCCAGCACCCAACCGCAGGCGCTCATCACGAATGGCCCGTGGGCACGCCTGCATTCACATGGAACAACCCCAACTCCATATCTGCAACTAGCGAACACGGGCTCATTCAACTCGCGCCACTCCGCCAACACCCATCATCACCAGCCCACCAACATGCGTCTTCGTCCTTGTCGTCCTATCTACTGAACCTTCACGCGGAAATCGCATCCGCGCGCCCAACCTGATTATAGGATGTCGATAGGGTTGCCTTCACCGGATCTACGGTAACCGGCCGTAAAGCCATGGAAGCCGCGGCTAAAAGTAATCTGAAGAAGGTGAAGTGGACTTCAAGGCATCGATGCAGTTGAATAAATTAATATTATGTGCCTGAAGGTGTCTCTGGAGTTGGGTGGCAAGTCTCCACAGTTAGTCTTCGAGTCCGTGGATCTAGAACAAGCCGCAATACTGGCCAGGATTGCACGGCAGGATCCTGTTTGTATGTTCAGGACACGATTTACGATAAGTTTCTCTCTCTCCTGGTTGCCAAAGCCCAGGAGCTCGTGATCGGCAATGGCTTCGACGAGAAGAGTGGCGGTGGGCCGGTGGTCAGTTAATCATACTGTCGTACAATCCGCAGCTCACACCCTTTGCCAGATGTCGAAAACTCAATTCGACAAGGTTTGGTGATATATTGAGCGCGGTCAAGCCCAAGGCGCAAAGCTGGCTCTCGGTGGCCAAAAGCGTCCAGGCAAGGGTTTCTTTGTCGGCCCTACAAGTGAGTATCCGTAGCTTTCGGAACAGGGCCACTAGCGCTGATCGATTTTAACAATGTGCAGTTTTCACGGACATTGACACGAAGATGGATATTGGAAGAGCCAAAGCTTTCCCTCAGAGTGCTTCAGACTCACGTTCATGCGAATCAGATACGAGATGAGGTGCGCTTCCGATACTAGCAGGATGCCCGTATACTGCAGCACAACCCTGAATTCTAACGAACAGATTGGCGGTGGGCTGATTCAAAATTGAAGAGGAGGCCATTTCTCTGGCCAATGACACATCTTACGGCCTCGGTGCTGGTTTGCACTCCAGTGCGTAGTCTCCTTGAGTAAATGATTAACGCTGAGATGTCTTCGAAATATCAACTGATGCAAATCAATGTATGCGCGTCTCGTCTGCTCTTGAAGCTGGAACGGTATACCTTACATCACTCAGGCATTTTCCCTAATTGACGGTATCCGAAGGTCTGGGTCAATCAGTACAATTTACTGAACATCAATATCCCCTTTCGGGGGAAAAAAGCAGAGTGGCATTGGCGCGTAATTGTTAAGCACGAAAACGCTCGACGGTTCTGACCTCGCAAGCAGGTCGTGAACTTGAAAGCTATGCCCTTAATCAGTATGCTTCGGTCAAGGCTGTTCACTGGAACTTCGGAGAGAAGCTCGATTGGCCACTGTAGTGACAGGACTGGCATGGTCGAACTTAAGGAGCATCAATGAGTGTATTTTTTACCTGTAATTATGGCTGTGCGCCATTCAAACAATGCCCGAGTGATGTTGACACAGAGTCTCCGCAACTTTGCCACCGCAGATAGTGTTGTAAGTCACAAAGGGTGTTCTGTTTTCGGGTAAAAGACTGAAAGCCGAAGGAAGGCGATAATTTGAAGTCGGAGAATGGGTTCGCACTGCTTTCCGTAAGGTTAGATGATGAATCGAGAAACAGCATTGTTCGAATCGGAATGATAGGACGAGAACAAGGTGATGACAGGGTACATAGCTCAAGCGCTCAAGGCTCTCCATCTTATTGAGTAAGACCCTTGCCATTACCATGAAAGCACGCATCTATACGGTTGTAGATTAGCCAAGGATTACGGTATCAGCGTGTCGGCCTACCGTCTACTATTAATTCTGTCCGCCAGCATGGCTTGATGGGTGAGCGTTTATGTCTCCACTCCCTGGACCCATGACAGCCACGTGGCTTCCACTGGACAGTCTGCCAAAGACATTCAGTGCAGGAAAGTGGAAAGGGAGGTGTACGAACGCATTCTGCTGA